TTGTTCCTTCTTACAATCCTTTGCACGGTGGCCAGGATTCCCACAATTGAAACAGTTGCCTTTGAACTTTTTGCCCTTTCCTTGCTTAGCATTTCCATCTTCAGAATATTTCATCTTCTTTGACTTTGATCCCTCTTCAACTAAATTAGCTTTGGAGATCATAGGATTGTTCCCATTCCTCTTGTCAGACATCTTATTGTCTTCTTCTATTCTCAATCTGGTAACCAGATCTTCAAGTGTCAATTCCTTGCGCTTATGCTTCAGATAATTCTTGAAGTTTCTCCAAGAGTTTGGTAATTTCTCTATGAAAGAAGCAACTTGAAAAGACTCACTAAGAGACATTCCTTCTGCATGAATTTCATGCACAATCACTTGAAGTTCCTCAACTTGACTCACAACAGATTTGGAGTCTACCATCTTGAAGTCCAAGAATCTGCCAACTATGAATTTTTTCAAGGCAGCATCCTCAGTTTTATACTTCTTGTCCAGACTTTCCCAAAGTTCCTTACTAGTTTTCAGGGTACAGTACACATTATACAGTGAGTTGTCTAGAGCATTGAGAATATAGTTCCTGCAAAGGAAGTCAGAATGCTTAAAAGCATCAATGGCAGCAACCTTTTCCTTGTCAGACTCTTCTCCCTCTTTCAGTTTAGGAGCATCTTCCTTGAGGAAACGGTCTAGACTCAGAGTTGTCAAATAGAACAACATCTTATGTTGCCAGCGTTTGAAATTCGTTCCATTCAGTTTTTCAGGCTTGTCAGCATGCATTGGAACAGAGGCAGTAACATTGGCATTGCTAGTACTTACATTAGCCATTTCTGTTACACAAACAGAATCCGAAATTAATCACACAGATTAATTTATCACACAGATTAATAACCCTGATTAATCACACAGTAAATAAAACAGAAACAGTATATATAACGAAAAATAAATACTGATCACAGGTTCAAAAACACCGAAACTGTCTTAAGATTGTTAACGAAGACAATGGGTGATATTATATCACTAATAGATTTGAACCCATGTATAAAGCAGAGGAGGTAGATGATCAGAATTATCACTGTGTAATTAAAAATATTAAAAACAGACTTACTTGTCAGTGGCAGAATGATGAAACAGACAGAATGAAAGGATGAATATATGCAGTATAAGAGGAATTAAATCCGAGCCCACAGAACGTGTCTCCTTAAGACAATTTGCCCCCTCACTGATGCCTAAGGTTGATGGACACTTGACTCCCAGGATAGAACGGATTTCGTCTGAAGAATGGTGGCACTACCAATCAACAGCCCAAACGAACACAACAATATGCCAGAGGAAGTCACACCGGAGGATGAACAACAATATGCAAAACCGGAAGAAGAAAAATTCCGGCAGAGTTTAAGTGCAGGAAAAACTGGATAGATTTCTGAAGGTGTCAGTGTCTATTTATAGACACTGACCGGTCACGATGAACAGTCGCCGGCGGCGAACCGCCGTGTCTGATGGCGGCGAATGGGTGCGACCGGTGACTGTTCCGACGAACAGATATGACCGGTGACCGGTTCAGCGAGCAGACACAACCGGTGACTGGTTCACGAAGGGAAAGAACCGGTTCGGTTCAATACTGCTCAAAAAACCGGCGGGTAGAAACGTTTTGGTTGGAGGGAAGCAAAAAATAATTTAATAAAAAATTATTTTTTATTACACACTATGAACCGATCCAAGCCGAGCCGAGCCGAGCCGGCCGGACGGACGGCGGCGGCGGCGCGCGCGTGTGGTGAACCAATGCTCACCTAGCTCTTCCCTCTACATAAAACATGTAGTGACCCAAGGGCCAATCTAAGAGAGGGAAGTGGGAGCTTATATACTCTCCCATTTCCTACTAATTGTCCAATGTGGGACTTGTTGAAACCCACACACCTCTTCATCTTCCCTTTTTCTCTTTTCTTTATTAACCCACTTCTTATTCATAACCAATGGATCATTGTACATTAATTCATTCATTAATTCCAACACTTACCAGAGAAAACTCACACTTCAGATACTCAGTCTTGCTTCGACTTAATGTGAATCCTTTAGATTCTAATGTGCTTCTCCACAATTCAAGTTTTCTATTAACACCATCCTTGCTCTTATCAATAAGCACAATATCGTCTGCAAAAAGCATACACCATGGCACTACCTCTTGAATATCTTTTGTTAGTTCATCCATAACTAAGGTAAAGAGATAAGGACTTAGAGCTGACCCTTGGTGTACACCTACCGTGATAGGAAAATAACTTGATGTTCCGTTACAAGCTTTCACACATGTAGTAGCCTCATGATACATATCCTTGATTGCCTTTACATACTTTGATGGTACCTTTTTCTTCTCCAGAACCACCCATAAAACTTTCCTTGGAACCCTATCGTATGCATTCTCAAGGTCTATGAACACCATATGTAAGTCCTTCTTCTTTTCTCGATATCTTTCATTTAGTTGTCGCATCAAGAAAATGGCTTCCATGGTACATCTTCCTGACATAAATCCAAATTGATTTACAGAAACCTTGGTATCTCTCCTCAAGCGATGCTCAATAACTCTCTCCCACAACTTCATAGTATGGCTCATTAGCTTAATGCCTCTATAGTTTGAACAATTCTGTATATCTCCCTTGTTTCAAAAAGAAAAAAATATAGAAAATAACTGTTTTCATAACTAGTTTACAAAACAGTTTTAAGAACAAAAAAATCAGAACACAATCAAACAGACCTTTTTGTTTCACATTCTGAGCCCAATTTGAAACAACGTATTGCAAAGTTTAAAACAGAGAATAATAAGGAGGCATTATTTCTCACCTTTTGAGACTTCTCATGATTCAGCTAGCAATACAATTTATTTATTTATTTTCAAAATTTCTTCTAATATTTTTCGTGTCAACATAGATGTAAAACTGAAAGCAATGTAACTTGGAATTCAATTCAAAATCTCTTTTTTTGGTTTTTCAGAATTTTAATTGGCTTTGTACATAGTTTATATATGCCCATTTAAAATTTTCAAACTGATAATGAGGAAAGATACAACAATTATCAATTTTGATCTTCCTGTCACTCTAATGACATAAATCTTCGTTTATCCCAGCACAAACGCATATCGGAGAGTTACTAACTATTTGAATAAAAAATAACTATTATTTGTACATGTGAAATTATCAGTACATGGAAACTTATGACACGTGACAATATTAATGCATTTCTGAGGTGTCAAAGAATGAAGAAACAGCATGGATTAACACTTAACAGTACTAATGCTGTTGTTGACAATGGATAATATTTAAATTGTATTGGTTGACCCGAAATGTGGACACCCAACCGATCCGGTCTAAGGGTTGGGAGTTCAACCAAGAAATGAAAAAAAAACAAAAATTTGTACTACGGATCTATTTACATCTAATTCAAAAAAGTAAAAAAATTTGGGACTTAAATAAAAATGCAAATAAAAATCTGGATTTAAATAGAATTTTTTTTTCCATTTAGAAAAAAGGAATATTAACTTGGGTATTCCTATTGCACTGAAGAAATTTTCCAAGAAATGATGATTGAAATTTACAACACTTATCACTATAGTAACTCTGTTTCTTGTTATAATGCTTCAGAACTTTATATTTATTATATATTTAATTCAACTGATTCAACTAGTTGAATCCGTGATTCGTTAACCCAGTTTTTTGACTGACTCGATTATCTATCCAAGTTTGATAACATTGCATGGGATATAGAGAAACAATCTCTCAACTAAGCATTGGAGACACACAGTGGAATCACAAATATGCAAACCTAAGAGTGGTTATCATCTTAGCCTATAAATAGGAGAACTCCTATAAGCATTCTTTAAGAGGATCACTATAGTTGTTTTTCTTACAAGTGCAAGATATCCCCATTCCTTAAAAATATTTTATTACACACTAAAATACAATACAACACGTGATTTCATAAGCATGAATCATTGGATAAGAAACTACACTATCTTTTAAAAAAAAAAAATTTCTCCACCGGTTCTATAACACTCCAAATTTCTAACAATTTTAACAACAATAAAATATTTCTATAAATTTTCAAAAAAAAATAACATTTAATTATTTATTAAGATCTTATATCTATTGTGGAAGCTAATCTAAAACTAATTTGAGAAAATGTTACCGTCGCACCTGTACAGGGGCAAGTGCAAGGCTAACTTTATTACATTAAAATAAAACCAACAATTAAAGTTCAACTGAAAGAAGTATTTCCTATGCATAAATAAATAAAAATAATAATTAAACTCTAGAGCTAGCTAGAAATCTCTGAGTTGTTATTCCCACTGCTAGCCCCATCCTTTGCAACCTGACTTATTGAAAATTTGGTCTATGTGTTTGCTACCTTCTAGAAGAAAAGCGATTTGGAGAAGAAAAATAATAATAAAATAAATAAAAATTTGAAATAAGAAGAGAGTAGTAGAGGAGAAGAGGAGAATTGCTGAAAATTAGAATATCTGCAAGTCTTGAGTTCAAGTATGGGCCGGGCTTCGTATCATTATTTTTTTCTCCTTTTTAATTTTCTTATGACTCAGAATATCGTTAACTCATCATATCTAATCAAATAAAAATGATTAACTCATCATAATCCAATTACATTCACAATCAAACATTAATGCATAAAAGATCAATCAATTAATAATTCAATTAATCACAATTTATCATTAGTCCTAATAATATATATATATATATATATATATATATATATATATATATATAAATATATTATTATTAATTTATAATTTATTATTATTAAAAATTGCTATTATATTTCTGGGATATTACAAGTTCAATGATTAATCAACTAGTCCTCCGAGCGAGCTCAAAATCATTGATTAAGCTAAAATAAACCCTTATCAATTCATCCACATGCTCGGCAGTGAAACTACACTCAGAGATCTTCGTCCGTTTTGGAGAGGTGAAGCAAAACTCGAGAAAAGAAAATCACGGCATCCAACGGTACAAGACGAGTTAAAGCAAGTATAGTGTATATCCAATGATCAAAAGTTAAAAAACTGATGGTATCAAATTTTTCCTATACCATGATTACAATAATATATAATACCAATCATCTAGTAATCCTCTGATCCTAACATAAGTAAAAACAAAATTATGTCAGTACTTTTAAAAAGGAATAGGCTGTCTGCCTGGCCATGATTCTATCTTTTCAAAATACTTGGGTGGAACAACACCATCAAAACCTTCCGTCAAGATCACCTTGTTGTCAGAAATGTAAAGCTTCATGCCTTCTGAAATAGGATTTAAAAAATATAGAGAAGCAGTATCAGTAGTCTTATTTGTAGTAGATTTTAATTACTATCAACCAACAACAACAACGTTCAACATTTTCAAGATGAACTTGTACACAATCAGAACTAGTTTGGAATACTATCATACCCTCTAATGCTTTTCTAACATCTAGAAAGATCAGAACATTGACATCTCGCCTCATACCTGGCCCAAAAACAATAAATAGATAAGAAATCAGGTACACAAAGGAAGCCGGTCAAATTCTAGTAGAATTTATTGCATCCAAGGGAATAACAGAAAAATACTAAAGATCATGATACACATTAGTTTTTGATAAAACAAGGCCATCTTCAAAGAATTCAATAAAACAGTCCATGCAAGTACTTTAAATATTCTTAACAAGTTTATTAAGACACAATAATCCCATGCCAGCCAAAAGGAGACCTCGAATCCAAAGGCCTCCATCCTCCAACAGATGGGTAGCAAAGGGATAAAGAAATGCTAATAGATCCAAGCCGTGGTCATTAATGGAACTTTCAGAGAAATAATGGATGGCTCAACAGCAACAACTATCCACAAAATGGTTAAATCATTTGCGGAGAAATATTGAGTTGCAAATTACAAATAAAGCACCAAGTGTGCAGGCATTTTGCTTCCTCTAGCACTTCTACTATCCTGGCCGGCCTCTGGTAAATACTCACAAGAAAAAAGGGTAAAAGGCACCAGAAACTGGATATTGTCAAGTACAAAGCTAAATTATCAATCACAATAGACATCTTCTCTAATGTTATTCCTTCTGTATATTAAACCTAGCCACCAGCCTTAATATTCCCGAAGGAAAATTAACTTGCCTAAACAAAACGAGACAACACTATCTAAATTTAAATTTCTATGTGTTTACATAGGATTCTTTTTAAAAATATATCATATTACCACTTATTACTTCTCCATCTGTTGGTAAACCACAAGAGAAATGAACATGCAATCTCTTCATGCGCTTCAGACCAGATCCTAGAATTGATTCCAAGTTCTTCTTGTAGGTTCCATGCACACAAACTGCATATAGTGACAAAGGAAAGAAATGAAACAAATAAAATAGCAAAATAGAAAAACATTAAAATTACAGAATATGGCTTGCAACCTCACCCGTACCCTCACTAGTCAGGGTTTCATGGGGAGTGGTTTTATGACTTGCAAAGACAGATATACAGCCATTCAGTATTTAGAATTGTGTTAGTATAATATTATAATATCAGGTTCAAGGTGAACCCTATATATGGCAACACATCCACCATTCAAAAGATAATATCAAATGATAAATATGTACATATTATAAAATTAAGGAGTGAATATATTGCTAAGTATGAAGTTCCCCATGAATCTGAGTATAGATTAACACAGCCGCAGTGATTATGTACCTAGAACTTCATCAGCTGAAAGGATTGGTTTCAATAAGCTTTCAGTTTCAACAGCCTGCAGATCAAGAGTTAATAATCGTATTGTAAGAGCAGATGAAGAAAATTGAAAGAATTCACAATCCAAAAGTTCAACATCACATAAGTAAGAACATTAAACTAATATTTTAACTTCTATTTGTAAACAAAACATTATTAGTGACAAAAGCTGATTAAGAGCAAAAGACATAAAAGAGAATTAGGTAAGGCGGTGGACAATATTAATGGCATAAAATTCTCCATTCACTTGACTGACACAATTTTAAAGATATCTTTCACTAAGGGAAATATACACCCAATGGTTCATCTCATTTACAGAAGAAACCATTGGTACCTATTATCAACGTTTCTTGATTTTCAAGCCAGAATATGGGCTATTGCAATCCCTATTCCAACTAGTGTTTGGTTTTGTTTAAACTCATTTGGCTTTCTATCTCTGACATCCTTAACATAAAGATAAGGAAAAACAGATCATGTTAGAAATATGACAAATATAAGTTATTTTCCTTACTAACAATACCATATCTAAAGTGCTTTGGATTTTTATCAAAACTAACCATGATAGCATGGATCTAATAGCGTAACGCTTCACTAATGAAATATATCTTTGTCATATCAGCAGGTTTTTTAAAGAAAACAAAAACTCATGCAGTGATTTAGAACTTCAGATATACGAAGTCATATCAAGGTGCAAAGATGCAAAAGGAAAGACAGAATAAAGCAAGCCATTAAGTACTAGAGTTTTTCATTAATGACATCTTAACATGACAATGGCCAAAGCAAATTTCAATAGAGAATTAGGTGCATTACCATTTGCATGCATCGCAGAGTACATACTGAATTCCTTGAAGTTCAATTATTTCTTCAAAACTTCAAAAGCAAATTGGATATGTCAACATTTCATGAAAAGGAATACTTTACCGTTATTGTGTGGCCTTGGTTTGCACGTATTAGTAGCTCTCCGTTCTCTTCTATGAGGCTGAAACGCTGCTTATTATCCTTTCGAACAGCCTGAAGATAACCACGACATAATTGATAATTATTTAGAAAAAAATGTTTTCCTTTAGTTAATTCGTATCATATGAAAATGAAATAGAGATTACAATATACTGTTTACATTAACAGCTAAATAAAAGCAAATATAAACAATATTCAAGTATAATTCAAAGATAAAAGAGGTTATATAAGCATAAATAGTCATTCAAAAGCATCATAAGCCAAAGAATTTTCTTTGAGCCGGCTGTTAGATTAATCCCGAATTGGGACTTAGTCACAGTTAAAGCTAGCTAATTGCCCCTTCCCAAAGATATATTTGGTGGGAATCGAACTCAGATTCTCTTTGCACTCTACTCAACCTGTGTTGTAAGCTGAGCTACACCCATTACATACAAATGACATGTAAATATTCCAAGTGAATTTAATAAAATAATCAATTTATAACAGAATTAACTGACCTCCCTAACGTCATCAATAGTGTGGGATCTCAGAGGAATATTAGCGAATGTCTTCAAATCCAACCGTAGCAGATCATTAACTTTTACAAAACCATCACTCCGCATATTCAAATTCAATTCAGATGCCATATGACGTAAAACTCTAGTCCTGAAATTATTAAAGTGAAACATTAATTGAATGAAATTGCTTTGCTTATTATTAAAAAAATGAAGAACGAAACATTTCAATTAAGAAACATTGAAGTGATGCTTACATGAGCCTCCCAAGAGCGTCAATTTTGTCCTTTCCAGTTCCAGTTCCAGTTCCACTACCACCACCACCACGCCCTCTCCCTCTTGTTCTTTCTCTTTCTCTTCCGTTTCTCATATCAGAAGTCATTCCTCTGCCACAGAACAACCTTTGAGTGCTGTGAGCGTACGAGGAGGTGTTGGGATTGTTGTTGTCCATTGGGGCTAATTTAGATGACCTGAGCGTGTAAAATGGAAAAATAACAGACACACGTGGTAGCAAGAAACCGCAGTAGCGTAGAAAAATGATGTTGCTGTTGGTCGCTGAAGCAAACATGGATTGAATCGAATTGTGTAGGAGATAGGATGAAAGGAAGAACAAGGGAACATTGAATTTTAAAATATGTGATTATAGGGGTGGGGTGGGGCAACATTGAATTTTAAAATAACTATTTGACTTTTAATATGTTAAAATTTTACTTTTTAAAAAATTACAACTAAATATCATATTAAATAAAATAAATTTTATTTGAAAAAAGTAATTATTTCTTGATAGAATTTTTTTTTTCCAAATGCATTCTTAATTTGTTGTCCACTCCCTTAATGAGAGAAGAACCTCCAAAGCTATAGAGTATACCAAAACTTGAAATCAACTGCCTTCACCAATTTAGTCCATATAAATCTTACTGGGCTGGGACTTGCAAGAAATATCCCCACAGAAGTAGGCACGTTTACAAAGCTTTCCTATATGGACCTAACTTACAAAAAGTCTTCTTGCCTAAAGCACTTTTAAATTTCACTTAACTTGAGTGGCTTGATGTTCCTAATAACCATTAGAAAGATACCATACCAGCAGAATTAAAGAAATTTATTCAATTTAGAGGGATTATATCTTTCAAATAATTTACTTAATGGTTCAATCCACTCTTGTAAAAAATGAGACTAAAAATATAAAAACTTACGTTTTAAGTTTTTATTGAAGTTATACGTGTCAAAACTTAAGTAAAAATGCTTCTTTATAAAAACGTGTAAAAATCATGGGTTTTATATTTCTCATTCAATATGAGAATTCAAATTTTTCTACACATCTTTCGATTTCCGTGACATGGGTCTTACATCTAATTTTTTCTAACACGTGAGTCCCACATATTTTTTTATCTCTACAACATGAGATTTCAATTCTCATTTAACATAAAAGTTATAAAACCCAAAAATCATATAAACACAACAAAATTTTACGTTTTACTTAGATCCAAAAACTAAATCGGGTCAAATTTTAACCGAGTTGTGGGAGTTGTTAAACTTCTTTTATGTTTTTGGACTTATGTCTTATGTAATATATGACTTATATCTTTTAATTATAAAGTTGTTTAATGAATTTTGAGTAGTGCCGTATATGATTTAAAAACTAAATATCATATATGAAGAGAGAATCAGAATAAGGATTCTGAGAGCGATCAAGGTTGATCTTGAGAAAGCATACGATAGGATCAGTTGGAATTTCCTTCAGGATACCCTATATGATGTAGGGCTTCCTGAAAATTTGATAAGACTAATTATGTTGTGTGTTTCATCTTGCACTATGAATGTTCTTTGGAATGGGGCTTGTACTAAAGAATTTCGGCCAACTAGAGGCTTAAGACAAGGAGATCCTCTTTCTCCTTATCTTTTTGTCCTCTGCATGGAAAGACTAGCCCATCTCATTTCTCAGGCAGTGGATCACAGGAGGTGGAAGCCAGTGAGGATTAAAAGGGGAGCTCCACAAATTTCCCACTTATTTTTTGCTGACGATCTCCTTTTGTTTGCAGAAGCTTCTCAGGAGCAAGTGTTAATAATTCAACAGGCCTTACATATATTTTGTGATTCATCTGGTCAAAAAGTCAATCATAATAAGACTAGAGTTTTCTTTTCTCAGAATGTGGGTCATACTCAAGCAAACCATCTTAGTGGGCTTCTTGGTTTTTCTTTGACTGCGGATCTTGGAAGATACTTGGGAATTCCTTTGCATCATAAGCGAGTGGGTCGGTCATCTTTCTCTTATGTTTTGGATCGAATGAATTCTAGAATTGCTGCTTGGAATCATGCCAATCTATCTCTAGCAGGTCGTGTTATATTATCTAAAGCAGTGTTATTAGCAATCCCATCATATCCAATGCAGGTTTGTTCATTACCGCAAGTCACCTGTGAAGAGATTGATAGGAAGATTCAAAATTTTGTTTGGGGTTCATCTCCACACTCTAGACGTTCTCATCTTGTGGCCTGGAAGCAGATTTGCATGGATAAAAAAAATGGAGGCCTTGGACTGCGGAGTATGAGGGAAATGAACTCAGCATTTATCATGAAGGTTGGGTTCAACCTCGTAGCTCATCCAGATGCCTTGTGGTCAAAGTTCTTACGTGCTAAGTACAATGTGGAGGCAGGCATGACACCAATTATTCATGCTCCAAACAGCAGCTCCCAGCTTTGGAAGGGAATTACGCGTCATTGGAATATTATAATGGATCATAGTCGGGTGCAGTTAGGCAATGGTCAGTCCACTTTGTTCTGGCTTGATAGCTGGCTGCCCGATTGTGGTCCTTTGATCTCATATGCAGGTTCTCAGTTTTCTATTAGTGATACTCTTCAGAAGGTGGTGGACTACGTGGATGAATTGGGGCAATGGAAATGGAATTCTCTTCGACAATTGCTTCCAGATTCTGTGCTGCATCGATTTATGAATTTTCTTCCTCCTTCTAGTCAAGATGGCCAGGATCATTTAATTTGGAATGGAACGACAGATGGCAAGTTTACTGTTAAGTCAGCATATGCAATATTAGCCATCAAAGATACTACAATCCAACAGTTTCCTTGGGAAAGTGTTTGGAGATGGCAGGGGCCAGAAAGAATTCGCTTTTTTCTTTGGTTAATGGCAGGGGAGAAGCTGATGACTAATGTTTGTAGACTCCGCCGTCATATGGCTCTTTCAGATCTGTGTCCTAGATGTAATCAGTCTAGTGAAACTATCCTTCATATTATTCGCGACTGTCCACAATCAAAGGAAGTATGGTGCATGATAATGCCTCATATAAATCAGCGTGAATTTTTCAACCTCAACCTGCACAATTGAATCATTTCTAATTTAGACAGCTCAAAGGATTGGGGGATGGGGTCGGACTGGCCTCTTTTATTTGGAATCTTAGCCTGGAAAATTTGGAAATGTAGGAATTCTTGGGTTTTTGAAGGTGATTGCCAGAATGCTTATTCACTTATCCGTTCAGCAATTGGTTTCAGAGATAGTGTCGCTCTTGCAGCTAACCCTATTTTTGGAGCGGACAATCAACCAAGGAATCGAATAGAGAGATTGGTTGCTTGGTGTTGTCCTCCTGTGGATTGGGTTAAGCTTAATGTTGATGGTGCATGTGATGCTAATGGTACTAGGACTGGGTGTGGAGGAGTTTTTCGCGATGCCTCAGGAACTTGGATCGTCGGATTCTGTAAAAATTTAGGCTCAGGTACAGTTTTGCATGCTGAGTTATGGGCTTGCTTGGTTGGTTTGGAGCTAGCTTGGGATAGAGGTTTTAGGCAAGTTTGGCTCGAAGGAGATTCTCTTTCAGCTCAACAGCTCATTACAAATGGGTGCCACCATGATTACCCTGCGGCTAATTTGGTGAATCATATTCGAAATTTGATGCAGCGAGATTGGCAGATTTATATGTCTCACATTCACCGTGAAGGAAATAGAGTAGCGGACTTTCTAGCCTCTTACTCTTATGGTTTCTCTTGGGTAATTCAGGAATTTGATTGTCCACCGTCAGGTTGTATTGATAGTCTGTATGGTGACACTATAGGTGTTCACTGGTCTAGGCTTTGTGCCTAGTTTCTTTTTGTTGTGTTTTTTTTTTAATTTCCTATTATTTCCAAAAAAAGGATTCTGAGAGCAAAGCAAGTTTGTTGTGCAATGAATCTGAGCATTAAATGTTTATTTAAAGTACTTCCTCTTACGTCATATGGTGGGTCCCACCTTGTATTAAAAAATAAAAAATAATAAAACACATTTATTGATGTATTTTGAAATATAAGAAAACTCTTTTCTATATTAAATGAGAAAATAATTTCTTTTATTTATAAGGTTTAGTTTAAGATAATAATGATAAGATAATAGATTTTAAAATAAATAAATAAGATAAAATATCTTATGTTACTCGAGACTATTATCAGATAAGATAAGTTATTTTCTATTTTTAAACGAGAATAAAGAAAATATATTTTCATCCTGTTTATTCAGTGATTATATTAATTTTTTTATTATAATTTTTTTAAAAAAAAAATCTCAAAACAATCTTATTTTTGATAATAAAAATTGAATTTATATCATGTGATACCGGAAATATTTTACAACTTTCCATCAACTGCGGTCTTTTTTAAATTTAAATAAAATTGAAATATTTAAGAAATGACTTTAATGTTTCTAAAATAAATGTAGATAAGTTATCTACACTCACTCTCAAAACGACGTCGTTTTGAGTTGAAAAATTAAAAAATTATAATTAAAAAGACTATTATAACCTTAAAATAAATTATAATTATAAAAATACCTTGATTTCCGTCCCAAAACGACATCATTTTGTGCTCAATGTATATAACTTATCTACATATTAACTGTAAAAAAAAACGAACCCTTAAAAAATACAGATTTCATTTCTCCCAACAAATTATTAACTTTGCTTCTATTTAATGTTAAATAATATTTTCTTGTTTTTGTTATTATAAATTAAGATGGAGAGAGAGTATGAGATACAGTAATTTAAAATAAAATTTATATAATATTATTTGAAAAATGTTATATTTATAATTTATTTTCTCTTACATCCTCTTATAACTATTTTTATGGTTGTTGGATCAAAATTAAATTAACAGATCTCACATAGTGTTATTTTGTAACTGTTAATTTGGTTTTGATCCAACAATCATAAAAGTGATTGTAAGACGTTACAAGGAAAAAAAGATTTTCCAAATACCTACAACAAAATGAAAAATGAAACTATTTATTAAATAAATTTTCATATATAATTGTTGTTTCAAATATTTTGAAAAAAAATAGTGAAGACATTGATATATCGTAAATAAAAATCACGAATGGTAAGAGATTTAAAAATTGTAACTATAATTTCACCACAAATTGTTTTTTAAAAATTGTATAACAGATTATATTTGATGTTTATTGCGGGGAAAAAAATAAAAATACAATATTAAGAATGAAAAAATTGAACTCAATAAAAATATTTATTTTAATTTAATATTTTTATTATTTCATATTTTTTAAATAATTTATTATGTAAAAGTAATTTCTCATAAACAATAGTACTTTATAGAATATAAACAAAGAAAGAGGTTATACTTACCACCTATTTTCTTTTATAATCTCT